CCTCCCTTCCCACCATCAAAAAGCTAACTTGCACAGAAATTTTCATATACCATGGCCATCACAAAGTGCTTTGTGAGAATGAAAGTCTCTGAACAGGGAACAAAGAAGGGATAATTTGAGGGTATTGATCAAAGGCACAAAAAGAGAGATTTTCAACAGAGTTTTCAAGGCAAGAAGAAAAGGTAAGAACCAAAAGAATTTTGGGAAAGAGTTCCTCTCTGAAAGCTCACTGGTGGGACAGAGTTATTGAGTAATAAGCAGAAGAACAGTGGGTCACAACAGCAGAGGGCTTGTAGAATATACTGAAGGAGATTGCAAAAGTACGTCCCTCAACTCCAATGCTTGAGGTTGAATAGTTGGTTGAATAGCTTGCTGCTGCTGCTCACTGTTAAAGCTCACCAGAAAGTCACCAATATCCATGAAACCATAAAACAGGGGAAAGAAAATACCTTCTTGGAGAGGAAAGAAATTTGTTGAGAATTTTTCTTTGAAAGCATCTTTGAGATGAATTGAAATCTGAATTTCTGTCTTTTTACCTCTGGGACTTGGATCAAAATGAAGCCTTGAGTGGTAGAATGACAGTTTATTCTTGCAGTTTACTGTCAGGCTCCCACATGAAATTACTGAAGTTTAATAGTTTTAGTCTATTTGCTACTGTGACTGTCTCTTTAATAATATTTTAAAAAGAAGCTGTCATTGGACAACAGGCGTGGTTTATACTATACAACAACAATAACAATAAATTACATTTGTATAGAGTCTAAAATGCTGTACACTGTCCAGCGCCTTGGGACATCCTCCCGACGTGAAAGCTGCTATACAAATGTAATCTTGTTGCTGTTGTTGCCTTTCACGTCAGGAGGACGTCCCGAGGGAATGAGACGTCATCCCGACTTCTCGGGTGCATTGTTTCTGACCTCCTTGTTACTGAAGGTAAATGGTATCCTTAGTTTATATCAAGAGAGTACAAATGCAAGGAGGGAATGATGATTTTGTGCAAGACTTTGACTAGGCCACACTTGGAGAATTGTGTGCAATTTTGGGCACCGTATTACAAGTTGAATCAGCGTTGTTCAGTTGTTAGCGCTCTTGCGTTGTGGTTTCAAGCTCCTCATCAGGACTTTGAACTCATAGTCCAGGCTGACATTCTAGTACAGTACTAGGGGAACGTTGCATTGTCAGAGGTGTAGTTCTTTGAATGTGACGTTAAGCTGAGGTCAGGTGGATGTTAAAGATCCCATGGCACTTTACACTATCTTGTATGAACCATAGATACACATGGTTCATACAAATTGGATAATAGACCCCAGGATGTATATACAGCTTCACTCATTCACATCGTGGCCTGCAATGTAAACTAGGAAAGAGAGTCTCCCCACGAGTCGTATTTTGAATTTCATCTGGCATTACAAAGGGCAGGAAGTCACAAACAGTTTCATCCCAGGTAAGTGCTATATCAGGATATACTACAGTGAAATATGTTTGATCTGTTGCAAGTACATTTTATTAAAGCCTCATAAATACTGTGTAATAAATTCAGGGTATTTCTAACATCTGTGCCCATCAAATAGCATGTTTAGTGCCCTGTGCAGGAACATTTTCTGATCAGGGCCAAGTGGCATGAAACCACAATCAATTTGCTAAGGTACCTGCAGGAATCTATGGTGTTGAAGTTCATTTTAATAGTTTATTTCTGGTCCATTAATACCAGTGAAAGGCTCTCTGGACAGAGCAATCAGTGCAATCTGGACGACGGTGAGCCCTATTGTGTGAGCTAGGTAAACCATGTGTAAATAAATGTATGTATTATGCAAGATGTGTAAACGTTCATGGCTCTATATTTAAATAATTAAGGCCACCTGGAATTCCCCAGAACCCACATAATGCAACGTTAAATCGAGGTCCTGTGTGCCTGTTCTGGTGGATGCTAAAGATCCCATGGCACTGTAGTTTTGGAATAGTTATAAATACTTTTTTATTAACTTCACTATCTTTATGTTTGCCACAGCAAATTTGGTTTAAACGGTCAGTTTAGATGATATCATTAAGGATATGGGATTGGAGAAGTTACTCACTCCAACAGTGCAAAGGATCTGAATTACACATATGGGAGGAAATGACTGAATCATTGCAACATGCTGAGCTAATGGCTGTATCTCTGCTGGTTATAGTAACTGTTTCAGGCAGAAGTAGTCCATTGGTTTATCTAGACACTCATCAAATCTTCCAAAAACTCGCTTCAAATTTGCTTCTAATAATTCTAACCCTTAAATTTGGTATAACATCTTTCACATCAGGAGGACGTCTCAAAGTGCTTCACAGTAAAGTGTATTGTAAAGTGGAGGACTGTGTGTTTTATGGGCAAATGCAGCAACACATTTCCATAAACATGGAGCAAATGATTAATTGTATAGTGGGATTAATAGTCAGGACATCGGGAGTTCTATCGTTCTAATAACTTCAAATCCTTTTAATTTCCAGGAACTTGTAGTTCTGTTTTAAAACGCTTCATGGTTCCTTTTTCTATCATCTGTGCTGGCAGTTTAATCCATTTGCCCATCAATCCTTTACTAAAAAAAATTCTACTGCACTTCCCGTTCCCCTGTGTGGTCCTTATATAGATCGCTTTGTCTTCAATTGTCTTAGACGTTTTTCCCCCTCGGTGCCCCTGTGTCTCATTAGTTTTATTTTTCAAACGTTTACTGATACGTGGACTGGTACTTCAATTACAGTATGTTATTGCAATCTAGTCAACAGCCGAGCACTTTTTTTAGCATCAATGAATTGGTTACTAGTGTTCAAATGAGGTATTTCCTTCACTAGTGCAGTGCATTAATCCAAGGTGATTGAAGATAAATTGTGCATGTGTGCAAATAATCTGTGCTCTCGCCCTAAGGACTCAATAGATCCTAGTGGATGAATAGGAACAAAGTGAGAGAACCCTATTGAGAAATATCTCTTCACTGAAGAAAGTGAACCTGTTTAGAAATGAGTCACTTTGGGCTGTATAATGTGAAATAGTAAATGTCTGCTCATTTCATTCATTGGGATGAGTAATACTTCAGAGCGTGGGAATATAAGATACATGTTTAGGCTTATGACCTTAATTAGGGATCATTTAACCCTTGGATCAGAGAGTCTCCTTTGAACAATATTCTAAAGCAGTCAAAAGGGATATTCATCATTTATTTTCTGTCCAGACTATAACATTATGATCAGGCAATATTAGTGGAAAAGTTATTATGAATTTGGTTGATTAATTTTGTCAGGATTCATTTGTACATTAAGTAAAATCCAGGTAATTATTGTCAAAATAAAATGGGCCCCGAGTGTGTACATTAGCTCTTATTTAAAATTAAATACATTTTAAGGTTTATAGCAGAATGTGCTCTATAGACCATTGCCTGTTGGATTTGTGATTTGTATTGGAACTTACAAAACCTGCCTTACACCACCTAATAAGTCAATAACCTGTCAAATATAAATAACCTCCTTTCTTCACAATTCTGAAACTCTTTACAGGAACAGCTTTCTTAAGGGCGTGACACTAATACTTCAGCGGTCTTCTGTGCAGGAGCATTTCCTTTTTATTTTGAAATTATATTTTAAGTTTTAGAAACCGCATGAAGATATCATTTGAATATCCATTTCTTGAGTTTAATGGTTCCTTTGGTTATCGCTCATCCTAACCACTACAGCACAGAATGGGTTCTGTGTGAAACTGTGCTCCAAATGTTATCAAAATCCTAGATCTGTGTGTAAAAAAAAAGGACAGAAATATATGGTAAAAGCTATTTAGTTAGCATGTTTCGTTCATAGTTATGCAGTTAATTCCTGTTCAATGACTAACTCGTTAATTACAAATCAGAGCGATTTTTTTGATATCAGGAGTATTTGCAGTGTGTGTCTGGAATAGAGAAAGGCAAAAATCTCAGTAAACATGGAATTTTAGTTTGTACAATTTCTTACCACCTTTTAACTGCATGGATTTGTGTTCCAAAACTGTTTCTGCTTTGCTGTGTTTTAATAGTTAATCATATTTGCACAGTGCAAAGATGTGGTGCACCAATAACCATAGAATCACTCAGGGACGCTACCCCATGTGAAGGGCGCTATATAGATGCAAGTTGTTGTTGCTGATGAACCATAGGCATCTACAACACAGAAAAAGCAACTTAGTCCATTGTGTCTGTGCTAGCTCTTTGAGCTATTCAGTCCCATTTCCTTATCTTTTCCATATTCATACTCCTGCAAATTATTCCTATTTAGATATCTAGAATTATTTAGATGCAAGAATTATTTTATTATAGCCTGAAAAATAAGAACACCTCAATGGTACCTTGAGAGTTAAATGCTACACCTTCTGTAAAATCTCCCTGATCTTTGTAGTTGGGAGCAGAAAAGACGATAGACTTCCTTGTGACCACATTGGGAATTGCTAAGCACTTTCTCATAGAAGGCTGAGACCTTTCTAATGGGCAGGTTTAGCCAGACAATTTACTACATCAACAAATGGAGTGCAGTGGTCACACTGATGATTGATAAAGAAATGCAAAAACTGAGAAAGAAAATGCAAAACATACAACAGGCAATGCAAAACATACAACAGGATCCCTTAATAAAAAAAGGGCTAATTTCTAGCATTTACAGCTTAACTTTAAGATTTAGAAAACAGTTGCTTTGGGCCTGACGGTGTGTTTGTTACGGTTAAAGCAGATTTCAAACAAACATGGACACTTACAAAGCTGATATTCACGAACATTCATGTGAAGCTTAGTGTTAAAATCTCACGTTTCAGACAAGCCACCTTTTGTAATTACTAGCCTCAAGGCAAGAGTCATTGAGATCTGCGTAATGATCCATGTCTGAGCACTCGTGCTTATTTTAGGTCACAGCGTCACAACATTGCACCAACATACGTGAATCGAGCCACTGTTTGGGAAGGGCAGGGTATGATGGTGGTACAAAAAGTAAAAGGTACATTTTACTGTATTTTTCAGGTAAAAGTTTTACATTGACAATCACAGTATTCACAAACCCACCCCAAGTGGCCACATACCACAGAGCTATAAAGGTTACAGTGGATGGACCCAGAGAACCCAGAAGTAAGTGTGACTTTCTTATGTTTGTTCTTGATATGATTTATACAATTGAAGACAAACATCTTTTCTTGGTTTAATTTTTTTTTACTCTGATCAATGGTAAGGAGAACGTCTTAGATCTATGTTTACCAGCAGACTCTACCTATATTTCATGACTCCAATAACTAGGCCAAAAGTCATTTATATCAACAATGTTCCTTTTCTTTTGAAGGACCAAACCTGTTTCATTATATTCTAATTGTGTGTAATGCTTTTAGGATTTACAATGACAACATGACTGAATGAATTCTTTTAGTGTTACTTTGCATGTTATTTCACCCACCCCATTACATAGTTGTCCTTCATGTAAGAAGGTAGGTGAATTGTGGGTTGTCTTTTATTGTTAAAATGCTTTGAGATGTTCATTAATAAATAAATGCAAGTTATTATTTGCAACCCAGTGTCTACTCTGCATCTCAGATTACAGGAGATCACTTGTCACATTGAGGTTCATTTTGTGGGTCAGTAAAGTAGACGTTACAGCTGGAGTGATATACCTTAGCTTCTGATGGCATGTTTGTGCTGCATATTTGATAGTGATTCTCTACCAAATGTGCAATTTAACTGGGGATCGAGTGAGAGTGAATCATACCTGCATCTGATTCTACCTGTAGGAGGTCTGTTTGCCCCTCTGTTGACCAGGACACTGGAAGAAACTCCCTCTTCTTGAGTAGTGCCATTGGATAGTGAAAATCATCTTGGGGATTCCCTTGCTTATGGTTCTATTGAAAGCTTACAAACAATCCAGGAAGCTTTTATCGATCTGTTTTTTAAACTTATTAAAGAGCTGGTCACACAAGCACCTGATTTTAGGGTTGGGCTGTTTTGTGTATACAATGCGATTTAGAGTAGGAAGAATGAATCAGATTTCCTACTTCACATCATTACATTGCAGGGAGCGAAGCAACTTTGATCCTTAATGACCAATGAAGGCCATTATACACCAGTGCACTAGCTTCAAATTCTATGAATTAATGTACAGAAGTGGTTCAGGTTCACTTGCTTGATGATTTTCCTTTCCTCTGCTCTCATTCTGTTGCCTGATGGCATACCCAACAATGGCAGCTCACTGCTTTGAGAATCTGGGACAGAAAAATATGAAGGTGCTGTATCAAATGTAAGGATTATTATTATCCCATTATCAGGTGTCTGCTTGGCTCAGTTGGAAGCACTTTGCCTCTGAGTCAGAAGGTTGTGGGTTCATTACCTTTCATTGAGACTTTAAGCTCATAATCTTGGCTGAAACTCCAGTGCCTTGTTGTTAGAGGTACTATCCTTCAGATGAGATGTTAAATCAAGGTTCTGTCTGCCTGTTCAGATGGACATTCAAGTTCCTAGTTGAAAAGACTAGGGACTTTTTCTAGGTGTCCGGGCCAACAATTCCCCAAATCAAAATGGTCATTCACTTATTGGCTGTGTGGTACATTGCCGTGTGCAAATTGGCTGCCATATTTACCAGCAAATACCAACTTCATAATACATTCTGTGAAGCTGTTTGATAACTTGATAGAGAGCTCTATCAAATGCCATGATTATTATTAGCTTTCTATCCTCCTTGGAGGAGCTAAGCAGTGTCCCTTTGAATCTGAGTTGGCTCAGAGATGACACGCTTGGCATTGGAATGTCAGAAACAAATAAAATTTTCTGTCATAGTCTCAGTAGTTCATTTTCTATGCTGGGGGGACTGCTGATGACTCACCAGCCAGCCTAGCTTGTCGGTAGGAATGGCAGACCATTATTAGATGCAGAGATTCTTCCCACTCAGCTCTTGTTAACACTGCAAGCCAAAGCCCTAACAGGTAGGGTGGTTATAGGTTACCAAGCAGTGGGAAGCTTGCAGGATAGTACTCCCAATAGCAAACTCTATGGTTTGAGCTGACTAAACTCAACCCAGTAACCCTATACACATTCTGAGGTCCAACTTTGGCTCTCGCCAACCTATACATAATACTTACCAGAATTAAGAAACCAGGGAGTGAGTGCACATTCCAAGTCAGACACAGGTAAATGTCCTGGTGGCATACATATGTTGAACTCTCAGTCTGGTTTGGATTCTCTTAAACATGGTGATGGGTTTCCTTGTGTCAGATATCCAACTGACCAAACAAAATTATGATTCTGTGCTACAGCTTCCTTGTTGCTCACGCCATAATTGTGCATTTTGAATGAAACATTCAAAGTGGCATTTTAAGCCATTTCAGCAAGATGCAGCATTCACAATAAGTTGCCGTTACATATGTAACTTCAGAAATGTCAACAAAAGTGAGCTTTAATGAGGTTTCAATTTAAATAGTAAAGTTTGAGGCACTTTTATTTGGCATGTGCTTAAAAATTAATGGCCCTCATTTGTCTTTCTGACAATTCCCATTTCTTTTAGAAATAAGCACTTTCACACCAGAAAGACTAGCCAAAAATCAAACTTGCGTACTATTTCTATTGTTCATATTCATAAATCATAGCTCAAAAGAAATGTAACAATGTATGAAGTAGAATTGGAGGATAATATTACTAGTTGCTGCATCAATCCTTATCTTTAAACTAGTTCAGCGGTAAGGTCACTTTCAGCAATGACTGAAATTGAGTTGCAATACTGTACAACATAAAATATCCCAGTATTGCTTATTTACATACCAAAACACTGATGTACTCTCGAACATTAAAAATCCGGTAATACTAGTGACAAAAAAAGTGAACAGAATTCTATATAATTATTCAAGTGTTGAGGCAAAATGGCAAAACATAGTTAGCACTTCTTATAGTCATTTTGGAGCTTGTGGATGTTTTTGAGAAAGTTTAATAGATTAGCATTTTGCCTGACAGTAATTCCAGGGCCACGCTGTTAAGGAGCTTGCTGGATTTGAATTATTTTCATAAATGACTCAGTGAAACGTTATTTATTTGGTATTTTTAAAATGAATCCTCATACTGTACCTTGAGACTGAATTAAGTTTTCTGCATGACCAAGCTCGCTTCTATCTGGTGTCTATTTTTTTTACTGAGTGAGAGAAATGATAAGAGAAAGAAATCAGAGATCTCGAAGACTTGGTTTGGTTAGGAAATTGATTTGCATATTGTGCAGTACAAATGAAAATAGTCCCTACTTTGCTGTGTAGCTCTTCACCTCTGTATTGTAAGAATGTGCATTAGAAACTGAAAGAGTCTGGCTTTCCCGGACGCCCAGCGGTACTGTTGAACGCTTTGGGATGTACTTCCGAAGTGAAAGGCGCTGTACAAATATAAATTTGTATTGTAAATACCTGACTGGAAATGGTTAGATCAGACCAGATAGTGGTCTACCAGCTTGTCTTGTGCTGCAAGAAGATACAGAGCTCCTGAGCCTGTAGCCTCTTCTACACCAAGCTCTGCAATACCCATTAACCTTGGGCACCACTCACTCCCAGGCTCCCAGTCTCCTAGCAGATCAATGTCCAGATCCTCATTCTGACCTTCAAATTCCTTCATGATCTTGCCCTGTCCTACATCTGCAATCTTCTCAAATCCTACTCACACCCTCCTCTCCTCCAACCTTGATTTACTGCTCATTCTTCACCCTCTCCATCCTAACATCAGTGGCTGAGCTTTCAACCCGTTCTATCGAACTTTCTTCTGAAAACCTTTCACCATGCCCCTTCTCTCCCTCCTTCAAAAACTCTTTTAAAATATATATCTAACTACGCATTTGGCTGACCTCCTCAAACTCCCCCTCCTTCCTGCCCTGTAAGACGGTCCACCACTGCCTTTGTAAAGCCCTTTGAGATGTGAAGGGTGTTATATAACTAAATACTGTAGACGTAATACTAACTGATAAGGCTTGGGTGTACACTGCAATTCCACCCATAGTAAGAACAAGACCTGCCATAGCAAGGAAGGCAATAAGTAATGATTAAGAACCTTTCCTTAAGGAAGGAGCACAAATCAATTAGTGAGTCACTGTAGGCCACCCCAGCACAGCAACCAGTGGTTAGTTTAAGAAACAACATTGGCATGAAAGCAGGTCACCTGACTACATCCAGGCAGCAAAGTAAGGCTCAGAACAGAGGGAGGCGACTCTAAAAGAAGAGAGGAAATATGTTTCAATGGAAAGCAAAACAAACACTGAACCTAAATTCACTGGAAAGATTTCAGGTGAGGAACAAGAACAGTGATGATATCTAAAAATGCTTTCTCAGGAAAGACTGAGTCAGATTTGACTGCAAAATATTCTATGGATAATAGTGCTATTTAACACATATAAAAAGATTTGTATTTAAATAAACAAGACAAGCACCTTTAAGATTCTTGTCATATTTGTGTTTGATGAATGGAGCCTTTGTGCTTTAGGTTAAACAGATGGTACCCCCAGCAATCCCGACAGCTAGGTATTTAACATCATGTTACAAAGTGATCTGGCTTCTGGCCGAGACTTGTGTGGGCTGAGAGCAACATAGTATTTTATCAGGGTAGTCACACCTTGTTTTCCTTGGAACTGTGTAACCTGCCTGTGAAAGTTCATTTCAGTTTCCCTTTCGGCCAATCTTCACAGATAGCATAACAAATGGTCCTCTCGGTCGGTTGTCAAGGAACAGGGCAGAGAGAGAGTAGAGAAACAGAGCTGGACACCTGCGAGTATGAGTGTTGCAAATGAGAGTTTTGCAAGGTACCTTCCTGCGTGAAGCAAAACTGCAGTTGACTGCACTCATAAAAATGTCGCAATTTCCACTGCGTTCAAAGGATCAACTTTCTAGCTGTTGTCAGTGGATCTATTTAATTCATATGTCATTAACAGACTTTTTCCGTTCTCAGTTTCCAAATAAGTGCTGTTACATCACAGACGTCTTTTTTTAAATAAAAGCATCTGGCACTCCCTCTTGGAAGCACTTCTTAGGAGCATATGACCATCATCCACTGAAAGATTAAAAGCTTTTCGATCTTATAATTGTTGTGTTTAACTTTGAACTTTTTTTCCCCTGAGTTTTGATTCATCT